ATATTGATCTTCCCATATTAGGCTTTTTATCAAATGATATTTATACAAATCACCATACCTCATAGATATTCTCATAAATACACGAAATAAAGTAATACAGAAGACCTCTATTGAGATAGCACACAAACAACGCAATATCTACAAAAAACAGCCTGCTTTCATATTGAGACATATTGTTCTAGTTGTATAGCTAAATGGCTGAATGTATTGAAGCGCATATGGAAGTAAGAACAGTGCCTTGTTAATAAAACTTTTAATTTACACTAATTTAATTTACTTTTAATGAGCTGGTAATGAAGAACAAAGTAAATTAAAAGTAATCTGTTCTACGGCGCACTAAAGAACCTATGCACCCGCTTCATTAAATATGTGTTTAATGAAAAACTACGATGATCCGCACAGAGAAGAAGATCTTTCATTGGGATAAAGATAGACATAGCTCAAACAAGCACATAATTCACTAAAGCCATGAGACACATAGCCAAGATATGACTTTGCTGTAGCATCTTAGCATTAAACATCCAGCAAATGAGAATCACAAATGTTTTGCAAAGTTGAAAAGTAAAAGACTGCTCTCTACAGCCTCTTGGGAATAAAAATTAAGTAATGAAAGAATAGCTATTTATTCTTATTCAACAATCTTGAATACATGGGTCACAAAGTCACCGAATCTCAGTGGGTTGGTTTCTTTGGTTGTGTAGGTGTACATCCCCATAAGGATTTTCGATGCTCTTATGGTGCCGTCTTCTTCTTTCACTTCCAAAAGAAGGGTCTGAACCATCTTAGACAGAACATTCTCGTGGGCTATTTTATTTTTTTCAATTTCTTCTGTTACTTTGTACAAAAGCGCAGACTCTTCTTCGCTCATCACATGGTTTCCAATGGTCTTCTTTATCTCTTCAAAGTCCAGGTCAAACTCGATGCTTCCCAAGGCGCCAGCTTCTACGTTGCTCTTCTCAACAGTCACCACAGTCTCGCCGCTCTCCAGGTCAGCAATCATGTCCTCAAGAACTTCTTCGTTCTGGGAAAGTTCATCTTCAATGGTTACTAAAGTAAAAACTTTTGCAGTTTTGATCATATCGGAGGTGATTTCATCAGCTGCTTTATCATAAACTCCTTCTTCAATTGCTTCTTCCTTGATTGTTTCTTCTACGATAACGCTCTCTTCCTCAATGGGTGTGCTCTCCACAGCCTGCGACTCCTCTTCTCCATCGAGCATTGCCTCAAGTTCGTAGGTCTCCTTCTTTTTTAGGGCCTGTTTCTTGCTTTTTTTGACAAAGTTGGAGATTGCAGAGGGGTGTGTTCCTGCAATGGCTCCCATCAGCTTTTCAAGATGGCTTTCATTGTTTGTCTTTTTGGGCTTTTTTGCGATATTTTTGGATATTTTTTTGTTTCCTTTGCTGCTGATGGCTGCTGCGAAGTACGTAAGAGAAAGAACGAGAACAAATAACTTCATGTTTACCACATCCTTTGCTTTATTTATATTATACACCTAAATTAGAGCCCATTAGGTAAGAAATGAAAATTGTGTTCTAGAAGCTCTTTTTCCGGGTCAGGACATCTTTCTAATATTATTTCTGCATTTTTAATTATCTTTCCCTCTACTTTCTCGCACACAAGTTTGTTGTCCTTCATTTCCAGGAGATACTCCGAATGCGCCTTGCCGCTGCCTATTCTCACGCGGCCACCCATTTGCTGGATTCTTTCCTCTGATAATAGTCTGGAAATAGTCTCTAAAAATATTTGCAAATACTGAAGGGATATGGTGGCATCTGTTGCAGTTTCTCTTATTTTCGGTATGTGCTTGAAAGCGCTGGATATTCTATCAGATGAGTCTTTCCAGTAGACATCGATGAACTTTTTAATCGTGTACATAATGGAACTTTGGCAGGTGTGTTTTAAAGACCCGCCAAGAGTGTTGTGCAGATGAAGTGTGCTTACAAGGCCTGGATACACCAATACGTCTTGGTAGAGGAATATATTGCTCAGTCCCTGCTTGCTTTTCTCGTTGATAACCGATGCCACCCAGACAGACACCAAAGGATGCTGCGAAAGACACTCTATGCGCCCTTTCGAGTATGACAGTGTGAACTCTATTTTTTCTTGTGCAAATGTCATTTCTGCACTGGCTTGATTATTTGCAAGTTTTCCTTCGACTGTGATTCTCTTGTAGAAATCAGGAAGGAAAATGTGTTTGTTGCATGCAATTCCCTCTGTAATAACAGATATCCAGACCAGCTTCTCTATCTCAGAGACAGACAGCTTATCTTCTATCGATACTTTGCTAGACGTAATAGTAGAATGTATTTTATTTTTTCCTAGTCCCTCCAGCTTCAGCAGAACAGAATTAAAAAGATGCAGCTCGATGTGTTTGTCTAGGAATATTCGTGCGTTTGCTCCCTTAAGAGCTTTTACCGTGTTATACGAAGAAATAACGGCTAAAAAGTGTTTTGCTTTTTCAAAAATAGTGTGTATGATTTGCTTGGGCCTGTAGAATGTTTCAATGGTAATTTGCGACTGTGCTAGCGATGGCTCTGCGCTGCCATATAGAGGACTTAGCTCGTCACTGGGGCTAGATCTATTGCTGTGCACCTGGCTAGATACGCACTCATCAGAGGGCGAGGAAAGCGAAGATAGCGGCTTGGAGCCTGGCGCCAGGTGAATAATGGGCATTTCATTGGCAACGAGCAAACTGTTCATTTGGAATATTCCGTAAAACAAACGAACAGCAGTCTGCGATGCATTCCAGTACACTCCTATAAATAAATCAGACCGTGTTCGCATTACAATGTTGAGCTGCAAAATAGATCCATTGCACATTACATTCACTTTTGTTTTGGATATCACTTTGGGAATAACGGTTTTTTGTGTGTTTTTTTCCACTGCTACCTCTTTCTGTAGCTCTCGAAGAGTGTGCATCGGCCTATCTCTATAGAAGAGGCCTTTTTCGAGAGAAATGTGTGTGTTGGAAGTAAACTCTTTCTTTAAGCTGGTTTCTATGTGCAAAAACAAACTGTTGATAATATTTTCTTTGAAGATGGCTGATGTGCTGCTGTGCTGCACATGGCACACAATGTTCGGGCCGTCCCACCTATTTGCAATGCTGATCTGTGCTTTGTACATCCCAAGGATAGAAACCGTAAAGTTTTTGCTTGTTCCCGAGAGCTCCATATCAAAGATTTTGCTCTCTATCTTGTTCTTGAAAATTCGGTATATTTCTTCTATTTGCACAACGGACGATGCATACTTCGTCATGTTCACAATCTCTTTAATCGTATTTTTAAAAACAATCCCTTTGATGTTGATGCTCTTTGTGTCGTCGTCCAGCTGTTTCATGCTAAGCACGTGCCAGACATACTCGTTGTCTTTTTTTGTCATGATGAGTGTGCTTTTGTACCCGTAAGAGTCCAGCTCCAGGACTCCGTCTTTTATCGAATACGACGTGTTTTCATCTGTCCATATCCCCGACTTCTGCACATGCAAGTTGAGCAGCTGATCTACTCTTTCAAAATTTTTGGGGGTGCTATCTTTTTTTGTCAGTGACTTGGCAAGTGCTAGTATTTCCGTTGGAAAGTTCACCTGTCCGTGCAGGAGAACATCAACTGACCGGGTGATGTCGTACGATGAAGACGCCTCTAGCTTTAGGTCGTTGCATTTGTACACGAGCAAATCTGCGAGCTCTTCCTGCTCTTTGTTGTACTGCTGCAGTTTCAGTATCTTTGACTCCAAATGATCTATTTTTGGCGCATGTTTTGATGCCAAAAGCAGTGTAAGTATTTTCACCAATTCGTTTGTTTCTTTTGTGTACAGCCGAATAATTCTCCGTCGCTTTTCCTGTTCTTTTATATCATCAATGCACACTGCGTATATTGCGTTGAGCAGAAACTGCATCTTGTCCTCCACTATTTTGTTCAAACTCACTTTTGGTGGCTCGTTCTTCTCTAAAGCTGACTTTGGGAGGCGAATTACAAGACTCTCTTTTATACTAGAAAGTGGAATCTTCAGTTTCATTCAACAAATAAAAAATGAATTATTTTATAATTAGTTGGCAGATTCGACACTCTGTCAGAGAAAGTGTATAACTTGGCAGCTACAGGGCAAGGCATGGAGGATAATAAAAACAAACCAAAAGAGACAGAAAAAAACAAAGATATCAAAGAAAAAGACAAAAAGATAGAAAAGAAAAAAGGCGACGGAAAAGAAAAAAGGAGGGAGCCGCAGAGCACTGAGAAAACTCAGGAGCCAGAAAAAAAAGAAAGTCCAAAGGTAGAAAAAGCAAAGAACACTAATGAAA